GAAAGTCCTAGTTGTTTTAAGGATTTAAGAAGACAAGCAAGAGGTGTGAGACCCTGAGACTTTGAGTGGGTTTCCCATAGTGGCAGATTAAGTACAGAGTGAAGAGGAGATAGAGAAAGAACCCAGCAAGCTGGTAGGAGGTAGAGACAGAACCAAGCAAATGGGAGACAAAGAAAATCCTCTCTCCATAGGGAGTGGAAGCAGGATCATGAGTCCCAGCAGGAAAGTGAGCCAATGAGGAAGAGAGAGAGATGGGGCAGGAATAGGAGGAAAAAGGGGCTTGGCATTGGTCACACAAAACGAGAGCGAGGAGAACCAGGCATCAAAACAAAGTGTCCTTTAGTTGTTGCTCGGGTTCTAATTATTATTTTTGAGCTATTTCCAAGTCCCAGAAGGTGGCGTCCCACAATTTGACCATCTGGGAGAGGAAAGGCGAGATCCTGTCCTGGACAGGAAGTAGTGCGTGTTCCTGTCTCTGGAAATAGCATCCTATATCCAGAGAAAGGAAAGGGGTTTCCGACACACGTGTGATTTCAAGGCAAGCGAAAGAGTGGAAAACCCTGCAATGAGAGCGTGGCATGACCGGCCAGTAGATGGAGACAAAGTACAAGGAATTGGAGAAAAGCAGAAAAAATGCAGTGAACCAGAAGGGAGGGAAGTGTGTGGAACAAGTTGATCCTGAGGTTTAGTAGAGGGGGAGGGAAGATGAGCCCCAGAAGGGTGGTGGTGAGAGAGAGGGAGAGAGAGAGAGAGAGAGAGAGAGAGAGAGAGAGAGAGAGAGATACTTAAAATTATATATTTTAGTGCCAGGAACCATGTTGTAGATTAAAGAGAGACTATTTTGGCTGAAAAAAGTATTTTGGTGTTAATTTAGCATTTTCAGTTTGTATCAGATTTTACTTATACAGGAGGGATAAATGGGTTATTTGAGCTAGAAGCCAGAATAGGGGAGACTAGGGAATATTTGGCAAGGAAGTGTTTAAGGTTTTGGATATCCTTAAGCAGAGGAGAGTTAGGGGAAGGAGAGTGGGTGGTGGACTTAGAGTGGAACTGGAGAGGGGAAAGGTCATGGTATGGAGAGGGAGTTTGAGTTGGAGAAAGGAGGAGAGCTGGGTTGGGCCCTGGAATGGGAGGCAGGGAGAGTATAGCAAGGGGAGAGCAAGGGGAGGACTTGGCTGTGCCTCAGGCTGGGGAGCAGGAGGAGGCTGGGAATGGGTCCCAATCTCCTAATTGGAGGCAGTTTATTGGCTATGGTAGGATCAAAAGCTGAGGTCGAGGGGTGGGGGGAGTGGTGGGGGGAGGTCCCTGGTGGGTTTCAGCACCATCTGATAGATAAAAAGTTGGCGGAAAATGAGCGAATGGATGATGAGGCACCAAGACACAGCTAAAACTCCATCAAAATAGGGTTTATTAGCAAAGGAACACATAGGACAGATTCCCTTCTGGGCAGGGAAAATGTCTGCCCAGCTCTTGAGCTGGGGTCTTTTAAAAGGGAGGCTTCTGCTTCC